AGCGACTAGTGGGAGATAAGTTGGATAGTAAATCCGACTTATGCTACTTTGTGGGGTATCCCGAGGACTCAATGGGATACGAATTCTATTATGTCAAAGACGTTTATTTTGAGAAAGGCCACATTTCTTGAAAGGGAGTTTATATTCGATATAAAAGGCAGCATGATAGAATTACTTGAAGTAGTTCAAGAACCGCAAAGTGAAGTTTAAGCACAAGAACAAGTAATCTAGTCAATACAACAATCCACTAATATACCTCCTGAACCTTCACTACGTAGATTCGAAAGAGTTCGGAAAATGACTGATAGGTTATACCTCCTCGAAAATGATGAAGATCATGTTGATCTTGGAAAAGATCCAAGAACATACAATGAGGCCGTATCGGATGCGGACATGGGACATTGGCTAACTGCCATGAAATCCGAAATGGACTCCATGTACTCCAACAAGGTGTGGACCTTGGTAGATCCACCTAAGGGAATAGCTCCCATAGGCTGCAAGTGGATCTATAAGAAGAAAATTGGAGTGTATGGAAAGGTATCGACCTATAAAGCTAGATTGGTAACGAAAGGATATACTCAAAGGCAAGGTGTTGACTATGAGGAAACCTTTTCATCAGTGGCAATGTTGAAGTCCATTAGAATTTTGCTGGCCATAGCTGCGTGGTACGACTACGAGATATGGCAAATGGATGTGAAGATCCCTTTCTTTAATGGGGACATTGAAGAAGTAATTTACATGGTGTAGCTGGAAGGCTTCATATCTTCTAGAAGTGAGCAAAAGGTTTGCAAACTCCAGCGATCAATTTATGGATTGAAACAAGCATCCTGTAGTTGGAACATTAGGTTCAACTCAACTATCAAAGAGTTTGATTTTGGGAAGAACCTGGAGGAACCTTGTGTATACAAGAAGGTTAGTGGGAGGGCAGTGATATTTTTGGTGCTTTATGTCGATGACATCCTACTCATTGGGAATGATGTAGGAATGTTGGAACAGACAAAAGCATGGTTGTCCACACGTTTCTCAATGAAGGATTTGGGAGAATCATCTTACGTATTAGGAATACGCATCTATAGAGATAGAGCAAGAAAGATGCTTGGCTTATCCTAAAGCCTGTACATAGACACCGTTATGAAACGGTTTAGCATGGAAAAATCCAAGAAAGGATTCTTGCCAATATCCCATGGGGTTCGTCTCTCGAAATCCATGTGTCCTCAGACACCTAGTGAAATCGAAGAGATGAAAAGGACGTCTTATGCTTCTGCCATGTTGTGTACTAGACCCGATATTGCATAAGTTGTGAGTGTCACAAGCAGATATCAGTCTAACCCCGGTCCAGGTCACTGGATGGATGTGAAAGATATCCTCAAGTACTTACGAAGAACTAAGGATATATTTTTGGTCTATGGTGCCGAGTTGAAATTAGAGGGCTTCACCGAATCTAGTTTTCAATCGGATGTGGATGACTCAAAGTCGAACTCGGGATTTATATTCACGCTTAATGGTGGTGCCGTGTATTGTAAGAGTTCCAAGCAAAGCACGACGACCGATTCCACTACCGAAGCTGAATATATTGCAGCATTCGAAGCTGCAAAAGAAGCGACATGGATAAGGAAATTCATCCAACAGTTGGGTATCCTTCCTAATGCTAATGATCCATTACCGTTGTACTGTGATAACACCGGAGCCGTGGCGCAAGCTAAGGAGCCGAGATCTCATCAGAAGTCATAGCATATGCTGAGAAAGTATCATGTGATCCTAGTGATAATTGGTGAAGTCAAAGTAGAACGAGTCACCTCGGAAGAGAACGTTGCAGACCCCTTCACGAAGCCTTTACCAAGGTCGGTCCACGAGAAACATCGAGAGTCGAAGGGATTACGATTTATGGGTAGTTGGCTTTAAGTCAAGTGGGAGATTGTTAGAGTAGGTGACAAACAAGCCAACTTGGTCTTTCCATTTGTTCTTGTAATAAATAATCCTTTTCCATATTAATGATAAAAACACCTTGGCATTCTATATCTTTGTTCCTTGTTTCAAACATAGATATAGTCTTTACAGTTATTACAAGTACTAGTAATTAATCTTTTAGGATCGTAAGATATTTACTTAAGTATTATAATTGTTAAACGTGTTCCTAGTCGAAGGGTTACGCCACCAATGAGGATATCGGCCTTTCCCATTATGAGACTAGCATTTAGTGCATGTGTACTGCGTCTCATCAGTAAACGGTATTGTGATATCGGCATGCATAAGTGGGTGCTCGTAAGTTGACGAGTTCACTGAACTCGCTCACCCTAGAAATCTCTAAGTGGTTCCCAATAATCGAGTAGAGATATCTATGGTATAGTTGTACACCATTAGTCCTTATGACCAAGACATCACCGTGATGTCACTAGAGGACCAGCTGTATCGTGAACTGTCACTGAGTTCCACCGAGGACCGCCCTAAGGGCCAGTGTTTGTGAAGTCCGAAATCTAGTGGGACGTATATGCATTGTAGTCGGGGATTCGATCGCTAGAATAGTCTTGGATGTCCTGTGTGTTCTCATAGTTTGTAATCTCTAAGTCTCTGACCAGAGCTCACTAAGTGATGATTAGAGAATTCAATTCTCTAAGTCATGCACATACCGATTACAACACTTAGAACGATCGCACAGTCATTGAACTACTAACGATGTCTCGATGAACCAATGCCTCTAGTTCAATCGGGACATATGAATCGAAGGGATCGTACTGTACCTTAACTATATCAAAAGGTTCTTGCAGGCACTTCATTTGTATCTAGGGAATCATAACGCGTAGTTGCTAAACGCCAATCTTGATTCGTTGGACAATTAAGTTGAAACAAACTTCATCTTCATCGTAACTCTAAGGGACGAGTTTAGACCACAAAGGGTTGCGGACCCACGGCTAGCTTACACCTGAATCATCGAGGGTTACACTGCTCGTGCACTCGAGATCTTTGAAAAAACGGTCAAAGATAAAAATGTTTAATCTTTGCATGATTGGAAGTCAATGTGATTGAGTTCAACATTCGTATTTTGGAATTATGCATGAGAATAAGAAAAGAAAAAGAATAGGCGAACATCTTAATGAACTTTCTAAATTAGGAAGTTTCCGAATTTAGAAAGTCCACTGAATAAGGGTTTCCACTTTTAGAAATTGGAAATCGAGAATTGGCACTCGTAATGACGAGGATGTTACAATGATTCCGGAAATGTAATCGTTACAATTTTTCGATCATTGAGTTGTGAGAAACGAGCGAGTAAAGAACTAACGAACTTAAGTTGTTGGACCCGGTCCAACTTAAGCCCGGTAGGGCTTTTATACAAGAGACTATAAATACATGATTTATATGTCTTGCACAACACATAACACACTAGAGAAAAGCCTAGCAGCTCTCTCACAACCCTCGACCGATCTCCCCATCTCCGCCGCCGCCGTCGCCGGAATCGGTCTCCCGCGCCGATTATACTATTGGTAGTATTTTCCTTTTGTTCTTTTCTTCCATTTATTCTAACTTTTACGTGTCTAGTGCCACGTAGTTAGTTGATTTTGGTATACGAGGTGAAATTCGTGAGAAGGAAAATCAAGGAGTCAAATCGTCAAGAAGCATCCGCCTAGCAATCGCCGCACGCGCCGCCCGAAGACAATGTGTGACCCACACGCGCCGGCGCTGCCAGCGCGTCTGCCACCGCCGCTGCTCCGGACTGAATGGATTGGTTTCCGTGGCAGTTTGGTTCGATCCGAGTGCTTGCCTCATGCTTCGAGAGGTATTTTTCGGATTCGATTTTAATTAGGTATTAATTTAATTAGATTAAATTATATGTTTATATTTGCAGTATGTTTTTCGTGAATTGTTATATGTAATTGTTTATATGAAATTCATGATTTACTGCGAGCAGGCTCTTTGATTTATTATCGAATTAATTACACGCATGTTGTTGTTTTTAATTATCGCTGGAAGCGCTAAGGTACACAATTAATTGTTTACTACGAATCGAGCATGTGATTATGTGAATTAAATTGTTTATTTCATGTAAAAAATTTGTTTTGTGCTGCGTACACGTGCCTGATTCCCATTAGTAGAAGTGAAGCATATAATCAAAAGTCCCGCAAAGATATCGCAAGATTATTTTGAGAGCTGCCATATGAGTTACCCGGGGATCATGCATGAAAAGACATATTTGTTGCACGGCATAAGAGATGTCTGGCCGTGTGAACGTGAGGTATTGAAGAGAGCCAGCAAGACTCTGGTAAAGAGAAGGGTCACGGGTTGGCAGATAAATATGTTTTGATATCCGCTGGGGTGAGGCACGGGTTGCATGAAGTCATATTAGCGCATTCAAGGATCTCCTCGGTATATTTACGTTGAGAAAGGACCATCCCCTGGGACAAGCCCGTAACAGATATACCAAGGAAGTAATGTAGGGGGTTGAGGTCCTTCATAGCAAATTCTTGGTGGAGTTTTGTAATGATTGCCTGAAGAGTGACTGTACTGGAAGTTGTTAGAACAATGTCACCAACATACAGTAGGAGATAAGCAACTGAGGAACCAGTGCAATACACAAAGAGGGAGGTGTCTGATTTGCACCAGATGAATCCAACAGAGATGATGTAGCTGGCCAACCGCTTGTAACACGTATGTAGTGCCCGGTGGGACGAGTACGGTCAACCAAACCTGGTGGCTACTCATAGTACATTGCATTGTTTCATAGAGGCTTCCGTGGAGAAATGCATTCTTAACGTCGAGTTGATGGACTGGCCAGAAGCAAGAGGTAGCAATGTTGAGAGTTGTCCGAACAGTTGCTGGTTTTACCAGTGGGCTGAATGTTTCATCGAAATCAATACCAGAGCGTTGATGCAAAACCGCGAAAAACCCATCTCACTTTATACCATTCCAATGAACCATCAGCCTTCAATTTTTGTTTATACAACCACTTTCCACTGAAGACATTAGTAGTAGGGTATGGGGCACAATATCTCATGTGTTATTTTTAATCAAAGTAGTATAACCTCAAGCATGGCCATACGCCATTTTTTATCAAGAAGAGCTTGGCGATATGTAGTGGGAGTTGGAGATGAGGTAGACACTGTGAGAGGGAAGGGGATTTCAGGCTTGTGAATACCGGCTTTGCTACGTGTCACCATGGGATGGTTGGGTGGGGGTGAGACGGTAGGAGGGGGAGGTTGTGGTTCAACTGGGTTTGAGGGTTCAGCCGGGTTGGGGAGGATGGATGGAGATGAGGTGGGTGTTGTATCACTGTCGGACGAACTGTTGGGACAGTTGGACGGGACAGTATGTGGGGCTGGTTGAGGCTCAAGGAGAAGGAAAAGTGGGTTCAGGGGTTCGGTCATATCAGAGATGGGGGAGCTGGTGTGTGATGAGTTTGTGGATTCAACAAATGGAAAACGACTTTCATCAAAGATCACATGACGGGAGATAATGATTCGACCGGTGGACCGATCAAGGCAACGATAACCTATTGTGCGAGGGGTGACCAAGATAGACACAAGGAGTAGAGCGAGGGGTGATTTTGTGACGCGTAGTGGTGGTTTAATTTAGATAACAGAGACAACCAAAGACACAAAGGTGAGAGTAGGTCGGTTTTGATTTATAAAGGGATTTATATGGCGCCTTGGCGCGTGATTTTGTGTGCATTTGGTAGGGATGATGTTAACGAGATGAGTAGCCATGTGAAGGGTTTCGACCTAATATGTGGGGGGAGGGAAACTTGAAAGAGAAGTGATCGAATCATGTTTGTGATGGTGCGGATCATGCATTCGGCATGTATGTTTTGAGGTGAAGAGTGGGGACATGACAAATGGTGTAAGATACCATGTTTAGCAAAGTATGTTTGAAAGTAGGTATTCTTGAATTCACGTCCATTGTAACTATGTAAGGCTTTAATAGGGTGCTGAAATAGGGTTTGTATGAGTTTGTGGAACTGTTAGAATAGTGCGAAGACGTCAGATTTATATTGGATGGGGAAAGTCCATGTATAGTGGGTGGACTCATCTATGAACACACGATAATATTTGAAGCTAGAAATACTGGAAATGGGAGAAGTCCATAAATCATCATGAATAATTTCAAATGGTGCAACGGTAATAGAGTTACTAGTAAGGAATGGTAAACGAAAATGTTTGCCTAATTGACAAGAATTACAAAGAGAATCCCGTAGATCGTTGGTACTAGAAATAAAATAATAAAAACAATAACGAGGCATGACATGTTTTCCAAGGTGGCCGAGACGACGATGACATGTAGTGGGAGAAACAAGTATAGTGTGAGCAATAATGGCAGTTGCGGACGGGTTGGGAGAAGGGACGGCAACAGGGTATAAATCACCGGAGCTATTGCACCTGAGAATGACCGCTCTGGTCTGAAGGTCCTTCATAGAAAAACCACTAGGGTCAAATTCAACCAAACATGAATTATCTCTAGTGGATATGCGAACAAGCACAAGATTCTTAATGATGTGGAGACTGACATAGACATTGGTGTGACGAAAAAGGGTAGAAGGTAGGATGGTGTGGCCAATTTCAGTGATAGGGATGGTGGAACCATTACCAACGACAACATGCTTGGGGAAATCACTGCTAGGATTAAAAATAAAATGGAAATTACCTAATTGTGGTGCCATGTGAGATGAGGCGCTTCTGTCCATAAACCATCGAGGTTCGCTCACTGAATGGAGTGCCAATGTGTTTAGATGAGTGGCAACGTCTGTTGGCTGTAGGGGACCACTGTTCGATGAACTATTGGAACAATTCACTTGTTGTTGCGGAGGATAGTTGTAGGCAGTGGAGGAACAACCAGTTGTCGGATCTTGTTGTCAAACGAAATAAGCATGAGTTGTAGGAGCATGGTCAGGACCAGGAGGGAGGGGGTCCAAGAATCGATGGAGATATCAGAAGTGTGTAAGGGGCCCGCCAAGATTGTGATTGGTTATGAAATTGATTATAACCATAGTTTTGCATTGGATGTTGCGGCTGACCACGACCACCGTGCGACCGCCACCTCACTGATTGCGCCAAGATCCACGACCTCGAGAATTGATGGAACTGTTCGGCCAATTGTTGGAACTGTTGGGGCGAGATTAGTAGAGAACAGTGGGGGTCTACTCTGCTTCAGCAACACAATTTTCTCCCATATGAAGTAGAGAACAAGTTTGGAGAAAAGATGGCAACGGAGTTTGGAATGAGATGAGATTAACAACGGTTATGTAATGCTTTGGGAGGCCATGGAGGGTTTGGAGGACGAGTTGCTTGTCCGACACGGGGTTGCCGACATCGGCCAAGTTATCGGCAGTGGTTTTGAGAAGTTGACAATTATCATGGTTGTAGAGAGATCCGCTCTTAAGAGACTTGATATGTTGTTCGAGTTGATTGGCCTGGTAGTCTTTGTTGTCGATAAATAGGGAGACAAGGGACTTCCATAGATCGTGAGCCATTAGGATTTGGAGAGAACCATGCTTGAGAGGTCCTCGTTTAAAGTGTCGTAGATCCAAGATTGGAGGAGGTAATCCGCACGTTGCCACTCGTCAGTAGAGATGTCTGCGGGCTTTTCTTTGCCGAGAAGAATATCGGTGAGACAGAAGCGGCCAGCGGTGATGGTGAAGAAGTGACTCCACTTTTGGTAGTTTGGATTTTTAATGTCCAGGGTCACAAGAATAAGGGCTTTGATGTTAAATATGACATGATCGAAATGAAAGGGATTGAAAATCATGGTCGGTCTTGTTGTTTCGTTGGTCATGGTGAAGAGAAGAAAGAACGATTTTTTTTAAAGAATATGAGGTATGGCGATGAAGGAGAGGGCGGCTGTGATTTATGGTTTTTGGCTTGATACCATGTGAGAAGATAAATATTTGGAGAAAGAGAGGATTGGCTGTCTCTCACGTTTATTCCAATATATATACTACATGTGTGAAACCCTACCCACTCTTACAAGGGAACTGGAAGATATACAAGTCAATATTATAATATTTATCTATAATATATATTGATAAATATATCGGCTAATACATATGTTTCTTGTAGACATTATATCTTTCGACTCAAATGGCAAGAAGATTGTGAGTCGAGTTCGAAGCTTCAAAAGTTAGAATTGTAGACAAATCATTCTTACGATATATGTTGTCCTTTTCTGTTTTTATGTACAATTTATCAACTGTAATATTGTCTCTCTGCTCGTTAATTTTTATTGCAATATATTTTCTTTCCTTTTCCAATTATATATGCTCGCCTAGCCCCGTGATAAGAAGAGTTACTGCTGAAATTTGAGGTGCAGACGCTAACCTTATTGTGTCTCGTTAATTGTATACATGCATGCAACAAGGAAATTTTCAGTAAAATATAAATTTAAAAGAATAAATTACTTTATTCTAGCTTCATAAAACTAGAAATATTTTATAATTGAATAAGCTTCACGGTAGTTTTCCTTTTAATGAAATTCATTTTACTGATAAAATAAATGGTAAAATTCATTTTGCACTCATGTACTATGCGAAAGGTATCGCTTACCACCTGAAGTAGAGAAAATATCAAACACCCTATTTTTGACAGTCAATGGTCAAACTTTTAAGGGCGTTAAATTTGAGCATGAAATGACTCTTTTACCCTTATTTCTATATGATATAATCCATACTTTTGTAAAGTTTATTTTTGTGAATTGTTGAAGATTTTTAGCATTCATTTAAATTAGAGTTTTTTTATCAATTTTTGTGGTTGATTTTTGGGGTTTTCAGTTTTAATTTTTTTTTCGGGTGGGGGTTGATGGGGGGTGGGGTGTTCCATTATATTTTTTTAGTGCAAAATGAATTTTACCCTACAATAAAATTTCATTTATCCATTCTGTTAATGTCTATGTGCCAAAAATAATAAAAAATCCGTGAAAAAACAAAATTAGGAAAGAGCCCCCTAATATATGTTTTAGACCTAACACTCTACCCTTTTGTTCTTTATGCCTTGATGGGTCGTGAAAAGATCAAAATACCCATGGGGATTCTGCAATAAGAAAAGCTCCGGCTCTTGAATAGGTCACTACCAACACAAAAGTGTTAAAAATAATTGCACCGAAAATCGCATGAATCACCTCAAATGTGCATAAAATCGCATAAATCACGATAAATTACAGCTGCAATTGGTCAATATCACTCCCATAATGTGCTAACATTTGCACAAAATCACCACAAAATGTAACAAGAATCGCACAAATCACCCCAAAACAAATATCGCAACTATCGTATCGTATTGCGATATCGTATCATATCGTTTCTATACAAATCGTTGTTAGAGTAGGTGACCAACAAGCCAACATGTGGCTGTGGTCTTTCGTATTTATTATTGTAATAAACGAACCTTTATTCGTATTAATGATAAAACAACTTGGCATTCTATATCTTTGTCCCTTTGTCACAAGCATAGATATAGTCCTTACAGTTATTACAAGTACGAGTAAATGATCGTTAGGATCGTGAGATATTTACTTTAGTATTATAACTGTTAAACGTGTTCCTAGTCGAAGGGTTACGCCACCAATGAGGATATCGGCCTTTCCCATTAAGAGACTAGCACTTAGTGTATGTGTACTGCATCTCATCAGTAAACGGTATTGTGATATCGGCATGCATAAGTGGGTGCTCGTAAGTTGACGAGTTCACTGAACTCCCTCACCCTAGAAATCTCTAAGTGGTTCCCAATAATCGAGTAGAGATATCTATGGTATAGTTGTACACCATTAGTCCTTATGACCTAGACATCACCGTGACTTCACTAGAGAACCAGTTGTATCGTGACCTGTCCCTGAGTTCCACCGAGGACCATCCCAAGAGCCAGTGTTCGTGCAGTCCGAAATCTAGTGGGAGGTCTGTTCATTGTAGTCGGGGATTCGATCGCTAGAATAGTCTTGGATGTCCTGTGTGTTCTGAAAGTTTGTAATCATTCTAAGTCTCTGGCCAGAGCTGACTAAGTGATGATTAGAGAATTCGATGCTCTAAGTCATGCACGTAACGATTACAACACTTAGAACGATCGCACCGTCATTGAACATATAAAGAGGTCTCGACGAACCAATGCCTCTAGTTCAATCGAGACATATGTATCGAAGGGACCGTACTGTACGTTAACTATATCTGAAGGTTCTTGCAGGCACTTCATTTGTATCTAGGGAATCATGACGCGTAGTTGCTAGACGCCAATCTTGATTCGTTGGGTGATTAAGGTGAAACGAGCTTCATCTTAATCGTAACTCTAAGGGACGAGTTTTGACCACAAAGGGTTGTGGGCCCACGGCTAGCTTGCACCTGACTGCTCGTGCACATGAGATCTTTGAATAAACGGTCAAAGCTAAAATA